GGGTAACATACTTGTACGTCAACCTGCATCGGAGGCTCCTGCACGGCTCACAGAGCGCGCACCCAGGATCCATGAAGCAGAGAGAAGAGATGCTGCAGCCTGAAATGTATAACAGCCTGTCCCACTACTTGTACACTCACAAACTGCAGTGCCTGCCAGCCAGCCCTAGTGTTCTTGTTCACTGCCCCAGTGTAGTCCTAATAACACACACAGCCAGCATCTTTCAACTGTTCCAGTGCTCACAAAAACACCGCCATACCAGTGTCCTAATCATCGCCACATAACATGCACCATACCAGCTCCAGGATCACTGCCATATGCCATACCAGCACCCTGCTCATCACCATAGCCCATACCAGCATCCCGATTACCCCATGTGCCATACCAGCATCCTGATTACCCCATATGCCATACCAGCATCCTGATCACCGCCATAGCCCATACCAGCGTTCTGTATGCCATACCAGTGTCTGGATCACAGTCATACACACCATGCCAGCATCAAATCCACCACCATACCCCATACCAGCATCCTGACCAACGATATACCCCATAACAGTGTTCTGATCACAGCCATACCTCATACCAGCATCCGGCATTTTAGGGTCTCAACTGATCAATTTTAAGATGTATATCTTATTTTGTAGATTAAACTTTCACAGTGACTAAATAATATACACGGTTTTGGGTTATTTTTACCCAAAAATGTAGCAGAATATATTTTGCTTCAATTTATGAAGAAAGATTATTTGCAATATCTTATAAGAAAAACGAAGCAACAGATGTTTTCAAAGTTTTCTGTATTTTTTCATATATATATATATATATATATATATATATATATATATATATATATATATATAAAAATAAAAACAAAAAAGTTAAAAATTCTGTGTTGATCAAATACCACCAAAAGAAAGCTTTATTTTTTTTTTTGGGGGGGGGGGGGGGGGGGAAAAATATAATATAAATAGTTAGCACTTCCGCCTGGCAGTACTCGGGCCGTTGGTTCGAATCCCAACCACAGCACCACCTGCCTGGAGTTTGCATGTTCTCCCTGTGCCTGCGTGGGTTTCCTCTGGGTACTCCAGTTTCCTTCCACACTCCAAAGGACATGCTGGTAGGTGAATTGGATCCTGTCTAAATTGTCCCTAGTATGAGTATGTATGAATGTGAGTTAGGGACTTTAGATTGTACGCTCCTTGAGGTTTAGGGACTGATGTGAATGTACAATATATATGTAAAGCACTAAGTAAATTGACGGCGCTATACAAGTACCTGAAATAAATAAAAATGTGGGCACATTGTTGCATGACCGTGCAAATGCCAAAATGCAACAGCGCTGAAAGCTGAAAATTGGCATGGACTGGAAGAGAGTGAAAGTGTCTGGACTTGAAATGGTTAATTAACCCACAAAACTAAAAAGACACTTAGCTTTGAGGGTCTTCCCCCAGTGGTTAAAAAAAAAAAAAAAAAAAAAAAAAAAAAGGTTTCAAGGGTGCGGGTCCCTGAACGCAACCTGTATATGTTTTCAGGGACCCGCACACATCATATTAGGACACAGTGGCTGTGTCCGTGCAGACGTGTGTCCCAACAGAAATGAATGGAACATTAGAATGGTGGTGCACAAGTAAACACGGACCTGCACAGGGCCCTAGTAAAGTGCTCCATGTAAATGAGCCCTAACTTTGTATTTTAATGCAGCGCACCACAACACAGGGTACATGCACTGCAGTTCTGGTCCATTGGTACCTACTGTACAATTTACATGGGCTCAATGACTTGGGATCAGTTCACACTATGAACCGCATATGAAATGCCCAGGAACCGCCCAAGATCCTACTCACTTTACATGCACCAGTTTTGAAACTGCACCGCAAAGAAATTACATGGTCGTTTTGTACCACGCAATCTGATGCAGGAAAACGCACTGCATTTACGATGTTAAGATTATACTGCCATCTGCTGCAGATTACAGGGGCAGTGAGATTTGTACTGTGCAAGTCTCCTGCACCACATTCTAGGGTGAACCTAGGCTAACTGTAAAGAGACATGAAAGACTGGTCTTGATGTTGTGTGGTGTATGTAAAATATGATTTTATTGAAAACTTAATATACATTTTTTACTTTTCCAAGGGTTTTCCAAGTTAAGAAAATAAGCAATTATACCTTTTTTCTTAAAAATTACACCTGTTTCAAAGTTCAGTTACAGGAGTCAAATTTTCTCTCTTTGCATGTTAATACTGGTCCATAAATATTTTTTTTTTCTGGCGCATATTAATTTGGCATGATGCACCTACAATATTTTTAACTAACAAATGTCCCTTTGAGAAGATCAGTGAACACACGTCAATATGCCTATGTATCCAGTGTCCTACTGCAAATTTCCCTGGCAGGACAAGGGTCCTGAAGAAGCAATATTATATAAGGAATAATCATGAACTGGGTCTTCCACTGAGATCTCTATGCGAATGACAGGAGATGCAATGACAGCTGAGACAGGCTAAGCATAATATTTTGAGCCCAGATACGGTCTTGTCCATATTGATGTACTTAAGATACTTTAAGTGTTTGCCTGCACAGGATGCACGGATATTTCATGCATCCACATGGTAGTCCCATGTATTGGGATGCAGTGGATGCACAGACACCAGATGGAAATTACAGAAGTAAATGCCAAGTACATTTGCTAACAGGCTTTGAAAATAATTTGCCAAAATGGGCTCCATACTTCAAAGGGTCTCCCACTTTTTTCACAATGCTCTGTGCTTCTTCTCTAAGTGTTCGTTCACACCAGCTGCACTGGGCCTGTGCTGCCCATTGCAAGACAAGACCAAAGCCTTCTTCCCTATGAGGGCACTTCACTGCATTACTAAAATACTGTATGAAATCTTTTTTTCAGAGCAACTGTTGTGACACAAACTAATGCATCACAATGCCAGTGTGACTAGAAGCAAACGTCATTTGTGACGTTTTATGCCCAACGCACGCCGATGGACGTGTGATTGGTGTGTCTTGCTTGTATAAACTAGCCCTAAGAGTCTGGAATCATTTAAAACTTTGAGGTTTTGAGATTGACAGGTCTTCACAAGCTAGCTTTCAAGCACTGTCATAAATCGGTGAGAGGGTTCAAGATGACCTTCAATGAAAAACAAGGCTGTTAAAACTGACCTCTCCTGAAAATTCTCTCATCTCAATAACTTGAGTCAGTGAACTGGAATAACGGTGTTCTGACTTTTCTATGACTTTCATTATCTGAATATTTGTTTCAGATCAGTGACAAAAGTATCAAAGCTTCTGAATCTGTATTTTCAAAGGCGTACGCAGAGCTCTAAGGACTTCTATCCACTAATGTTTCACACTCTTAAGCGTGTGAAATGCAGTGGTTTTCAGAGTGTAAAACAGTAGTTTCCATCAAGAGTTTTATTTTTAAATTTATAGCTGCACTGAAATGCCAGTGTTAGGCAACAAAGGGCTCAGGGACATCTTCAACTACAACATTCTGAAAGCCTTAAACAGGAGAACCTTGAATGTCCACCTGGTAAAAAGTTAATTAATTTATGGACAGAAGACCAAGTGGCAGCCTTGCTAAGCTTAGAAACTGATTTTTGGTATTGAAAGGCCCAAAAAGCACTGATCCAATGGAGTGTGCTTTGAAAGGGAAAAAAGGAACCTTGCATTTGAGATCCTTAGCTTGAATGCTGGACTAAGGAATCCACTTAGTGATAGTGAAACAAGGAACAGGCTGTCCCTTACAAAGACCTTTAGAATGAGTGAATCAGACTGCCTAAAAGGGAGCTGTAGCTGAGAGATGAACTCAAACAGTGCATACCACATACAGACAATGGATGGAATTCCTATATTGTTTTGAAGCAGGACAGAGATGGTAGAATAATGCCCTGGAAACCAGGGCCCTGGAAAGGAAGAAACCACTTAGGGAAAAAAAAAAAAAAAAAAAAAAAAAAAAAAAAAGGAGGCCCTGAGCCTAAAAACAATCAATCTTGCTTTTTTGCAGCACAAGAAATGGTTTCTTACAAAATAAGGCAGCCGTTCAGAAACGTCTCTCGCAGTGATGGCAACAAGAAAGGCAACCTTATGTAAAAATATATACAGAAGCATATCCAGCATGGGCTCAAAGGGAAGGCTCTGAAGAACCAACAGAATAAAGCTGAAATCCCATGGAGTCATCAGAGAACACATAGGAGGAACAATAGAAGGGACACCCTGTATGAAGCCCTTCACTAAGGAGTGAGAAGCAGGCACCCTCTGAAAAAGGACTACCAAGACCGAGATTTGATCCCTGAAGGTACTACAGTCAAAATGAAGATTGCAGGAAAAAAAACAATTTTACCCACAAGGTGGAGTGTCCACTACAGAGACAGTTAAGGTCTTGTTAAAGGATAAGTTCACCTTTGGGAACATATAACATGTTCCCAATGCTGCAGCTGCCGCCCACTGCCCCCAATTTAACAACAGCAGTGGTGCTCAGTTCCTCATCTTCACCCTCTCAGTGGGCATACCCCCCTAGAGGTCTTCAGGGACAGATCTCCAGACAGGTGGACCAAAGCCCTGGACTATGCAGCTAACTCAACACAATGCACTATATGCATAGATGAGTGCCTAATGCACAGTCTAGTGCCCAAGTGCAACATTACAGGCCAGCCCTGCTTCTTGTTCCTGGTGGGGTCTCCACTCAGTTGCTCTGCAGCAACTCAAGAATCTTAATTAAAAAAAAATTATCTTGATAAAAAGCTGTTCTCCTAAGGATATCAGGCAAAAAAGAAAAAAGAAAAAAAAAGGGAGACTTGCTGAGAGTAAGAGGGGTTATACTGAACAGTCCTTATAGATCTTGTTTGTCAGTGTCCCATATCCTGAAGGCAGCGGCATAAGCCCAATGTTCTTGAATACTTCTGTGTTTCATAGTGTACACTTACATGTGCATTTGTTTTTTTTTTAAAGCGACAAACTTATAAGCAATTGCTTTCTCTGGATACACCTACTTGCTAGTGCATGTCCTCCATTCTCTTCCCCGTTTGCTGCATTTTCACCATTCTTTGCAGATGGCTGCTGGTTGTTTGCTGTTGCTGCGGCTGCAGCCGCTGCAGCGGCAGCAGCAGCTGCCGCCTGTTGCTGTGCTAGCTTGTCTCTGTATGCCTGCTGTCTTGTCTGTACCACATCAGGCATAACTGCATCAATCAGGGAGAGAGATTCAATCGGCCTCCCGTCAAAAAGTGTGCCATCCTGTGGAAATAAATAAAGAAACATTGGTATTAAAGGTCTTAAAAATGCCAAAAGGCTATTTGTCTAGATACCAAAATAACTCCCAAACATAAGCCATATTGAAAACGAAATGCTTAAAAAAAAAAAAAAAAAAAAAAAAAAAAACGGTGATATAAACACACTACTAGTTTTACTCTTTCTGCTGCAATAGAGTGATGATCAAGTTCAATGTTGAACTTGGGAAAACTAAAAAAAATCCTTCCTTGTGGTGGGGCTGTGCCTGCACAGCAAAGGTTAGCAGTTTGTTTAGTCTAGGGAAAGCGAAAAGCATTTTTACTTTCTTAATCCTCCGCCTCCATAGGAAACAGTGCTTCGCACTATGCTGGCAGTGGACTGTCTCTTGGCGTCCTTAAGTCCATTTCAGTGCTATTGGCTCTGCATTGGTCTTGAGGTCATCAGAGGACCAAAGATTGCTGCAGAGCAGGAGAGAAAGAGGCTACAGAGACTGGTCTAGCAGCACAGAGGAGCCTGCAGGAGTAGAGGACCAGGCAAGCAAAACTGCTTTTCACAGTCCCCTTGGCATTAAAGAAATGTTAAAGGAGAAGTTCACCTTTAAAAAAAATATAAAGTAAATAATAATAATAAATAATAATAAAAATAATAATAATAAATGCATACTTTTTTCCAGGTATAAAATAAAAAAAGTGAATTTATTTTCTTTTTTTAAAAGGAACCTGGAAATCATTGCACCCACGATCAGCAGATCGTTGATGTCATAACAGGACTTCTGCAGACTGTCAGTGTCTGCTGTCTACCCTCACATTGTACAGGCAGGCATTTTCATACTGACAGGAAGAATCAATGAACTGCCAGAGATCTCAACAATGCCGAATAATTAATTGAGAATTACAAACCAACAGCCGCAAAGGATGTTGGTACTTGCAGTTTATTCATTCACAGAACTCTGTCAAAGAATGAAAAGGCCAAGTAAGCGGAGCCTTTTCAAAAAGTGACAGTTGGTACAGGGAACTCCTCCCCGTACTGCTGTCACAGAGGGCTTGGATTTCCAATCCGCTGCAGGAACCGGAACATTTTACGTGTTCAACCATAAAGATGGGTGAAACATGCAACATGTTCCCGTAGGGCAGTGTTTCTCAACTCCAGTCCTCATGGACCCCCAACAGGTCATGTTTTCAGGATTTCCCTCAGATGAAACAGCTGTGGTAATTACTAAGGCAGTGAAACTGATCAAATCACCTGTGCAAAATAAAATAATGGAAATCCTGAAAACATGACCTGTTGGGGGTCCATGAGGACTGGAGTTGAGAAACACTGCCGTAGGGGAACTTATTCTTTAACACCTGCAATGAAGCTGTGCTCCTTTTTAGTTTTTTGGTGTTCAGCTTTAAATATGCCCTCTCCCAAACATACCAAAATCAGAAGTAGAATAAAACCACAAACCATCCTGCATTCATTACCCTGAAAGTATGCTAGATTTCTGCATGTTCAGGTAAATTACAAAAAAGTGTTTGTTAAAAAGAAAATAAAACCCAAATATCCATTTTTTTGTTCATGAATAAAAACTCAAATAATGGTGTGAAGGCTGCACATAGCTACAGAGATTAAGAGAAACCAGGAAAATGCAAACATTAAAACAAGACCGATAGGAAGAAAAACAAAAAACCCCATTTTATTCCACTCACTACAGCCAGCTCCACAGGTGAAGTGTCTTTGGATGACGCTTTTGCTTTAGCGCATCACACTACTGTACAACTCAAACATGCCCATTTTTGGAGACTTCATATTGATCTTTTGAAATCTGCGTCTATTTATGTATGCAGTCCTAATTCTTGGCTGTAAACAGAACACACAAGAGCTCATTCAAACTACTGCTCTGCAAGAGGGCAGCCCATTCATCTGAAAAGGCTGCTTAATGCACAAAGTTTGGATGAGCCCTTTACAGCAATAAAAGTATAAGATTTATAAACACTATCTGTGCACACAAAATAAAAACAACTAGTAGTAAGGCATAATGAAATCAAACTGTCAGCTCGGAAAAAACTTACCTCATTAATGCTAACTTCTGCCTCAACATACTGCAATCCTTTCTGAATAATGGAAATTAAAGCAGCAGGTGGCACCAGGGCACCATTGATATTAGACTGGCTGATATGGCTCTCTATACCAAAAGTGAATGCTGAATGGGAAAATCCTATAGAAAAGAGAGGGGAAAACATTCAGACAGACAAAAGAAGGCTACAGACATGAATCACATTAGAAGTTCACTTCATAAGCATTTTTGGCTACATATCTAGCCAAGCACTACAACAGCCCCCTGCAGAAAAACAATGGGAATATTTACATTAACCTAAAGTGGAACTGCACTGCATCTGAGCATCACATACCAAAAAAGCCATTTAATTTATTTGTAATATTGAAAGCAATCTCCCACATCCACCCTCGTCTCTATGCTTTATTTTGCAAAACACCCAATGGCATTTCTGGCTGTGGCCATCTTGAATAAGAAGATGATGTGTATGTATCATTTACTTCCTGGAACCAATCTACCCTTAGCTCAGTCAGACTGAGCTGAGAACCCTCCCTCTCCTCCTGAAGACGGCTGGGATGTATGACATCATTTGCCTAGGAATGGAATCCAGGAAGTAAAAAGTTTAAAACGAGTAAATATTTATATACTTTCCTATCTATTTACAAATGCTAGCAGCATAAGGATTAAAAATAGTTTGTTGATTGAGAGAGTGAAGTTCCACTTTAAATTTCATCAATTCCATATCTGTTCAGCATTTACGTAACAAGATTTACATATCAAAAAATAGCTGCTATTTTTCTCCATTGAAAATGGCTTCTTTACTACACAGTAACAGCTAAACACAAAAATGGCAACCATCTCAATTTATAAGTAGATTTTTAAGCAAAGTGCCCACGGAAGGGTTTTGCACAAAAAAAAAAAAACAAAATAAAATGTACACTTACTAGCTATCTAGCAAAAAAATAAAAAAATATTAAACAATGTGTGTTAATACAGTTTCCTTTTTTGCACATCTGCAAATTTGTGGAGGCTGCACTGCCTCATCAAGGCCCCTCTGGATAGTGCAGTCCTGACTCTAGTCTCCATGCTGGATCACACAGTTTTAAATAGAGGGCAGGTACGCCTAGAGGAAGGCCATCCATCCCCACTTGCCTACTGGGCCAACTCTGATATTTCTTACATACATGTTAAAATCAGCATTCTTTTTGCTAGAAAACTACATAGAACCCCCACACACATATATTTTATGAAAGCATAGACCCTGGAAAATAAAATGGTGGTTACTGTAATATATGTCACACTATAGTTGCACAGCTATGTATTGCACATTTTCCGGAAAAAACAAAACAAAAAAAACTTTAATGCATTTTAGCGCACACAAGAACAATACCCAAGTTACTGTTAAAATATAAAAAGATGATGTTACACTGCGTAAATAGATACCAAACATGTCATGCTTTAACACTGAGCACACACGTAGAATGGCGACAAAAAATTGGAGAACAGTAAATTACCCGCAGGCATTTAAGGTTTTAAAAGCCTTTTGGCTGGTTACTATTTTACAGTTAAACAGGTCTAGCACTAGAATTATTGCTCACTCTCTTATGTTCGCAGTGATACCTCACGCTTGGTGGGATCACAGTTTACATATGTGTGCGGGACCTACAAGCACGTTTGCAATTGCGCATGAGCATAGGGGGACAGGAATTATTTCATTTTTGCTTGTTTTGGTTTTTTTTACAGTTTTTCAAATCAATTTTCCTGCCATCACAAGGGATGAATGACATTCCTTCTCCTCTGTTTTCAGTTAGCCCCACAGAGAGCAGCAGTCCCGAGATACCCTATCGCAGCAGAGAGACAGGGAATGGTGGTGGAAGAAGGGCCCCACCAGCGTCCTGTAGAAATAATCAGGTGGCTGTAGAGCCACTTGGATCACTTTTACAGGAAAGCCCATCGCTGGCTGCAAATTTTGTTATCATGTACACTGCAGCTTTTAGAGTAAGGTGCAAATTAAAAGGCTCTTTGACTTTTTTTTTTTGCTGGCTAGCTGGTAAGTGTACTGGGAGAAATGGATTGTTGGATACCTTTAAAGTACCGCTGGAGTGCAGTACAGGATACAGGTCTTGATGTCATAACAGATGGAATATATGCCACACCTGCAAGTGACTGGACACTGCAGAAGCCACCTGCTTAAGAGCTTTAACACTTCCTCATATAACCCCTCCAAACATGTAATTTTCAGTTTTATAGAAAGGAATGATAGGTCCTGTAATGTATTCCAAGAAAAGGAATTTACAGATATGTAAAAAAAAACTCCAAAATGTTCTTTATTGTACAGTACATCTCTTTCCAAAGCAGTAAAGTAAGGAGAGGGTAACAAGATAACAGACCTCCAAAACAAGGGTCAAGACCGGCCCTAAAAGGCCTGCAAAACCTTGAGGCCAAACCTGACATCAGCAGCAGCCCAATCAACCACGTTAACTTTGGTAACCAGGTAACCAGGTAACAGCTTCACAAAGCTGTGCAACCGAAGCCTGATGTTGAAATGCCCAAAGTGTGCCAACAGATCTAGATGAACAAACATTACTTGGAAAAGGAGACTGCTTACTCTCCAGAGCAATTGTACTGTGAGGCAGAAACACCCCTTTAAGTGCTCTTGGACAACATGAAAAAAAAAAAAAGGGTCTGATTTTTGGAAGGAAGTTGTAGAAACTAGGTGAAACTAAACATCCTGCACTGCATCCAAACTATATAGGGCCACTTCTTTTGAACCCTTAAGAGAATGGCAAAGCAAAATGTATACAATATTCACTTTTAAGTGGATTTTAGTGATCAGTTTAGGTCAAATAAGTGTTTGGCCACAAGACCACCTTGTCCCTATGCAACACCAAAAAGTTATTTAAAAAGACAACGTGCAGCCAGCTCCAATACCCTTTTTAGAAATGACCGCTACCAGGCAAACCACCTTAGGAATGAACTTCAACAAGGTACAGGTTTAAAAAGGTAGATTTTAAAGGACCAAAAACACTAGGTAAATGCGAGTAACCCCCTGCACAAAACAGAGGCTAGAGGTCTTGAACAGACTAGCCAAGGCCGAAACTGGTCCATTCAGGATATCCAAAGCCGAATTCTAGTCAAGCTCCAACTGCTGAAAGTTAAGAAAAGACCCAACAAATATTGAAGAGCATGGAGATCCTCTGCTTCCACCAATGGAAGTAGGACTTCCAATTTTGATGGCAAGCTTTACAAAACATCACTTTCTTAGCCTATAGAAGCATGGAAAGTACCAAACCCAATATACCCCTCCGAATCAGGACCTATGCCACAATAGCCATGCCAATAAATTCTGTTGCCCAAATTTCGGCTAGGATCTGAACGGTTTCATAAATAACAGCCAATGTTTTTGCCTTGTTACGTTGAGAATAATATATCTCAATATATATTTACGTTAGAGACACCATATATATACACACATACATATATACAGTTGTGGCCAAAATTATTCAACCCCCACTGAAATTGAGTGTTTTGGCCAGTTTGACATTGCTTTTGATCATTCAGTCATCTTGCTTACATTTACATTAAAGAGGCACTTGTAGGTCAGACAAATATAACATAACAGTTATAATGAAATAACCACAAATGTCTTTTCTGTGCTCACAGCATTATCAGTTTTATTCAACCCCCAAGTGACATTCAATCTTAGTACTTAGTACAGCATCCTTTTACAGTTATAAACAGCTTTTAAACGTGAAGCATAGCTTGACACAAGTGTCTTGCAGCGATCTACGGGTATCTTCGCCCATTCTTCATGGGCAAAGGCCTCCAGTTCAGTCACATTCTTAGGCTTGCGCACTGCAACTGCTTTCTTTAAGTCCCACCAGAGGTTCTCAATCGGATTTAAGTCTGGTGACTGCGATGGCCACTCCAAAATGTTCCAGCCTTTCCTCTGCAACCATGCTCTAGTGGACTTGGAGGTATGCTTGGGATCATTGTCCTGTTGAAAGGTCCAACGTCTCCCAAGCCTCAGGTGTGTGACGGACTGCATCACGTTTCCATCCAATATCTCCTGGTACTGAAGAGAATTCATGGTACCTTGCACACGCTGAAGCTTCCCTGTACCTGCAGAAGCAAAACAGCCCCAAAGCATGATTGACCCTCCACCATGCTTCACAGTAGGCAAGGTGTTCTTTTCATCATAGGCCTTGTTCTTCCTCCTCCAAACATAGCGTTGATCCATGGGCCCAAACAGTTCTAATTTTGTTTCATCAGTCCACAGAACACTATCCCACAACTTTTGTGGTTTGTCCACATGGCTTTTGGCATACTGCAGTCGACTCTTCTTATTCTTTGGAGACAGCAAGGGGGTACGCCTGGGAGTTCTGGCACGGAGGCCTTCATTACGCAGTGTGCGTCTTATTGTCTGGGCTGAAACTTCTGTACCCACATCTGACAAATCTTTTCTCAGTTCCTCAGCAGTCACACGGGGACTTCTCTCCACTCTACGCTTCAGGTAGCGCACAGCAGTCGAAGTCAGCATCTTCTTTCTGCCACGACCAGGTAGCGTTTCAACAGTGCCCTTTGCCTTGAATTTGCGAATGATGCTTCCTAAGGTGTCTCTTGGTATGTTTAACATCTTTGCAATCTTCTTATAGCCATTGCCCTTCCTGTGAAGAGAAATCACCTCTTCTCTTGTCTTCCTGGACCATTCTCTTGCCTTCACCATGTTTGTAACCACACCAGTAAATGTCTAGAAGGAGCTGAGTATCACAGTCATTTTAAAGCTGCCTAATTGGTGCTTATTATGCTTGATTGCTGCTCGGTGACATCCACAGGTGTTTTCAATACCTGATGGAAAGCACCTGTATGAACCTCTGTTCTTCAGAGTGGTAGTCTTTAAGGGGTTGAATAATTGTGGCAATGAAGAAAACCACATAAGAACCATTTACTACTGTATTACATAAACAATTGATGTCATTTTAGTTGCATTTGGGTAGTTACAACGTCCTTGTAGGATTTGATTCTGAATACAATTCCAAATGTACACTATAGTCCCTAAACCCCTTTACAGCATTGGGGGTTGAATAATTTTGGACACAACTGTATATACACACACACACACACACACACACACATATATACACACCTATTGTATACTGGCA